CTCAGCGGCTCGGCAGCTCGGCGGCTCGGGCGACTCGGGCGGCTCGGCGGCAAGGCGGCTCAGCAGCAACTGCAGCTCAGTAGCTCGGTGACTCGGCGGCTCGGCGGCAGGGCGGCTCGGCAGCAACTGCAGCTCAGCAGCTCAGCGACCCGGCGGCTCGGCGGCAGGGCGGCTCGGCTGTGGGGCGGCTCGGCTGCTGCAGTGGGAGATGAAGGAGGAGGAGAAGCAGGGGAGGCCACACACCTGCCACCCCTCTGCAAGCGGCCCCCCTCAGGTCGCCTCGACAGGCGACGGGAAAAGGGGGGGTGGGTGGTGGGGGGCCGGTAGGTGCAGCGGCGGGGCCAGCAGGTGCAGTTGCGGGGCCGGTAGAAGGGGACGGCAGGAGCCGTCAGGAGGGGACGGCGGGGCCGTCAGGAAGGGACGGCGGGGCCGTCACGAAGGGACGGCGGGGCCGTCAGGAGGTGACCGGGCCGCGACGGGGGCAGGCGGCGGGGCCGCGTAAGGGCCTGGGCGGGGCCGCGACAGAGCCGTCGGCGGGGCCGCGTGAAAGCCGGGGCGGGGCCGCGTAGAAGCCGGGGCGGGGCTGCGCGAGAGCAGGCGGCGGGGCCGCGAAGGAGCCGGGGCGGGGCCGCGTGAGAGCAGGCGGCGGAGCCGCGTAAGGGCCTGGGCGGGGCCGCGACAAAGCCGTCGGCGGGGCCGCGTGAAAGCCGGGGCGGGGCCGCGTAGAAGCCGGGGCGGGGCCGCGCGAGAGCAGGCGGCGGGGCCGCGAAGGAGCCGGGGCGGGGCCGCGTGAGAGCAGGCGGCGGAGCCGCGTAAGGGCCTGGGCGGGGCCGCGACAAAGCCGTCGGCGGGGCCGCGTGAAAGCCGGGGCGGGGCCGCGTAGAAGCCGGGGCGGGGCCGCGCGAGAGCAGGCGGCGGGGCCGCGAAGGAGCCGGGGCGGGGCCGCGTGAGAGCAGGCGGCGGGGCCGCGACAGAGAGGGCGGCGGGGCCGCGTCAGTGAAGGCGGCGGGGCCGCAGGGGAAATGGCGACCCGAGGGGTCGCTAAAAAAAAAGATCGCGCCTCGGGGGGCGCTTCGGTGGGCCCAAAAAAACGGTCCGTAGAAGGACCCGCTCTATACCATGTGAAAATAAGCGAACAGGAATGAATGAACTAGCAGTGAAATGAGTACAAGTAGGAAACCCTAGAATTGTGTACCCCCTATAGGCTAACCCACTGTAGCCTACACAAGCATAACATATATAATGTTTGACAGCCTCCTGGCCTTGAACTTGTGCTCGGAATGTGTGGTGACTTTGTGATCCACCCTGAACTTGCTTTGCTTTGCTTGACTTGTCTTGTGACCCCTTGTTCTCCCCCACTTTGCCTATGGGGGTGTGTCAAATTATAGTGTTGTGTAGGCTTTTGTGGGGTAGCCTATATGGGGTACACAATGCTAGGGTTGCATACTTGTATCACTTTCATTCCTCATTCATTCATTCTCATTTCAGTTCTCTCAGTGCGATTGCACGGCATCCCTTCGGCGATCATGAGCGACCGAGACCCGAAGTTTACATCCAAGTTCTGGAAGTAGACATGGGCGCAGTACGGCACGAACCTACAATTCTCATCGGCATATCACCGACAGAAGGACGGTCAAACCGAGCGGACCAACCAGACCATGGAGCAGTTGATCAGGACAAACTGCCCCGACCCTGCCCGCTGGGAAGACTCGTTCGCGATGTTGGAATCCGCTTTCAACAACGCACCGTCTAGCACAACTAATCACTCCCTATTTTTTCTGAATTACGGGATGGACCCGACAGTTCCTACGACAACTACTCTCGACCATCCGGTCCCGAGGTCACAGACTTTCGTGACGGAACTTCAGGAAGTCTAAGAAAAAGCCGTAGACGCAATTCGCAAGGCGAATATTACTTCCCGCAAATACACCGACCTTCTCCGACGGGAGCTCGTCTTGACAACTGGGCAACTAGTGCTACTTGACACGAAGAACCTGCACGTGCCCGGTCCATCCAAACTACGGCCACGATTTTGCGGACCGTTCAAGATTCTCAAGATGGTGACACCTGTCACCGTGAAGCTGTTGCTACCCGACGACTAGCGCATTCATGACGCCTTCCACGTCAGCCTTCTTCGAAAGTTCGTGCCAGCAACGACCGACATCGCACGTCAGCACGCTTTTTTTTTTTTTTTTGGTAGGTGAAATAGCATTATACAACGTACAACGCAAAACACCGTCGGTCGTAACCGGAGCTAGAGGGCATAGGTAGCATTAGTGTCTACCGTACCCTCCCAGATTCATATGGAGTCTTAAAAGTCAAATGCCTAAAAACTTTGTCTTGCCCGTTTGGGGCTTTCTTTGCAGAGTTGCCACATTTCAGATCTGGTAACCTGTGGACACTTCTTTGCCGCGTGGTTTTCTTCAGCCTTGATTGAGTCGCCACCACTGAGTGGTTGAGTGAGGTGGTTTTGAGCAACCCGTGTTTTGACGTTGAAGCGGTAGAAAGTGGTAACAATAGCAGGTCTTTCCCGGGGAGCTTGCCACAAGAGAATTGCACGAAATCTTCTGGGCGTCTTCCGACGCCTATGAGGACCAGCTTCTACTGTCCTGGCTCTAGAGAGCACAGCAACTTCAGGAAAATCTTGCATCAATCCATGTCGTCCAGCAGTAATAAAACTCCCGTCAGCATTATCCACCAGTTGCACGTCAGCACGCTGCCCCGACAGCATGACCTGTCCCGGAGCCGACCCTTGACCCTTCCAAAATCCTCGCTCATCGGGTCCGCCTTGACGCAGCTGGCCGACACGTGGATTTCTTAATTCGCTGGAGTGGCCGCACCAGTGAGGACGATACGTGGGTGCCATCCGCCTCGCTCGACGCCTCGCCACTTGTTGGTGATTACCTGGCGCGAAGGCGTGTTTCGGATATTGACTGCCTTTCTTAAGGGAGGGGGGGGGGGGGGGGGGGGGTGGTGTAAGGAATTTTCCCGAATTCCTTATCGGGGTTCAGTGCTTCGCGTACAACCAGATTTACGGAGTTCGCACGTTCGGCCGATTTCAACGCTGCCGAGGCTCCTCGCGTCGCCTAAAGCATTCCCATCGCCAAACCTGCACCCAACCTCACTCGTCCGAGGTTTCCTCCTAGCTAGACTAGCCCTACATTAGTCTGTGCATTCATTGTATTCGCAGTTCATTCAGTCACAGTCTCATTATTCGTTTACCTGCGCACTCTCTTTTACAACTCATAACAGCCCTCCTACGTGGCAGGCGAAAAGCAAACAAGTGCACAAACCAATAAAATGGGGTTCCCTTGAAGTTGACCTTGGGGTGCCTACATTTTCACTTGGCTTTGACATTTTTGGGTTGAACGAAGCTGTAGCCCGCAGCCGAACTGGCGAGACTCCTTCGCACCAGGGAGGAAGCAGCCATGGCCGGACGATGACATTGGCCCTGTCTGTTATTGACCATATAATCAGCCAATCAGACATACGTAATATGGCAGCATCAATTGTGTTGGCCCAAGTGCTTTGTTTGTCGTATCATCGGATTGGCAACTGTTTCTGCCCACCTACGTGGCAGGAGAATAGCAAACGTGTGCACATTCCAAAAAAAATAAAAGCTGGGTGCCCCGCGAGGGTGACCTTAAAGTATCCCTCATTTTCCAAGAAATTTAAGCGTTTTTTTTTTTAATTTATAAGGTAGCTGTCATGCTTGGTGACGGACAACAAGCCGTCAAGCGTCGGGACTCGGGAACGGACAACAAGGTGTCGATTAACCTGCAGCCACTGCCGCTTCGTACACCAGGGAGGAAGCTGCCATGGTCTGGCGGCAAAACACAGCTTCGGGTCAACAGAGCTCGCCTGCTGGTACTGATCGATGTTTAAGATCAACCAATCAGAAGTACGGAAATTGGCGGCAGGGGACCTTCGTGCCATGTGACAAACGCGAGCTTTGGTTTGGAGGCGGCGGCCGAGCTCGCCAGCCAACTACAGTAACAAGCCACCAACAGCCAATCGCATGCAAACAGAGAGCACAGTAGTACAGTACAAGGCTGAACTGTAGAGTCGGAGAGGGGCAGGGGGGGGGGGGGAGAGCGGGGGGAAGGGGGGGAGTGGGGGGCATGTGGGCGCGTGGGGGGGAGGGGATTACTGTGCAGAACAGTCCGAAATATGCGAGTGAGCCATCTTGGAATATACAGTAGGACCGTACGTGCATTTGGCGAAGCTGTCTACACCTGATGCTCTTTCAGGGGCCGAAAATTGTTTGGCCAAGTAGGCCTCACTGAAGCAAGCTGTTTTTCAAGGGCAAAATGAGCTTCAGGATGTGTCAATCATAAACTGGTATCTACGCTTGTTTGTTCAACGAAAGTTTCGTAACGGACCACAGTGAGTGTTGTAACAGTGTACAGCGCACGGGCTTGTAGCGATCTGGCCGTTGCCCATAAACCCCGACCAGATGGAGTGTCGAATTAAGTCCAGTGAAAAAGACATGCGGTTTCGCGAGCATTAACTGTATTTTGGTTCATCCAGCCCAACCCAGCCCAGCCCAGCCCAGCCCAGCTCAACCCAATCTATCTAGCCCAACCCAGCCTAACCCAACCCAACCCAACCCAACCCCTGAAGGAGGCCACCTCTACAGAACCAGTGTACATGCGTCCTTCCCCAGAGCTCTCCGCGGCATTTGTAAGGCCTCAGTATCTGCGCGGCACATGCCGCCCATACGCGTTCATACTCTCGAAACTGGGTTATCATTTGAGCAGTCCCACTGGCAATATTACATGATGATGCTGCATAATTTGCAGGAATTTCAAAAGTCGTTGTTTTTCTTAAGGAATGTGCACTTCAATGGATACCACCATTGCTTTTACTAGTACTACTAGTAACAACTGCCCTCGTTGTGTTCTTGGAGAGGGTTTTCCGCCAGGATTTAGATTCCGACCGACGGACGAGGAGCTGCTGTGTTACTACCTCAGGCGGCGTGTGGAGGGCCTTCCCATCGCATGGAATGCGATCGGCGACGTTGATATGTACAAGTTCGAGCCTTGGGAACTGCCAGGTACTGCCATCGTCAGCCTTTTTAGTGTTTTATCTCTTCCCAGACCCCAGACAACCCTCCTCCTCCCCTCCCACCTTCTGGAACTTCACATTCCCCCTGTGTGGGCACTTCCGAGTAACCACCGGGCCATCTCAAGTGCCACTCATCCCCTTTCAATTCTCTCTCCCAATTCAGTGGTCGAATCGAGGGACAAGCTCCAGTGCAGCTGTCAGCAATTTGGTGCAGACGCAAAGCTCCTCCTGATCTCATCTCCCCTTCAATCCAATATCAGGCAGAGAATCAGGCCCCACAGCGCAGACAAAATCTGGACCTCTTTGTTGGACAAGACCCCCTCTTCCCCCAACAACCCCCCCCCACCCCCCTCATTTCCAGTTGAAAAAACAACTTGTGTGTTTCCAGCCTTCAAAACTGTTTGCTGCAGATGTAGACTGGCTCTTTGCTTTGGGAACCCTCAAGTACCCCTTCCCCTATGCCCATAATCTTTAGCTCCATCCACAGCCTTACTCCGAACATACCCAATCGTTAAAAACAAGTTGCGCTCTTTGCATCTCTCTCCATCGCATCATTCCCTCTTCCACGCCCACCTTGCCCTGTACCAGGTGGCAATTGATTCTTTTTTTGCTGCACCATTCACTCCTCACTCAACCCACTCTGCTCTCTTCTCTCCCTCATCACCACCCAGAGCCAGAGCAACATTCCCAATTTCTGGAGACAGCGTGTGGTTCCTTGTCACATCCGGCGACCTCAATCCGACCTCAATCAGTTCGCTTCTTCTCTATTCTCTCCCTCTCCTCCACTCCCAGCCAGGGCAAAATGCCCTATTCCTGGTGACGGCGAGTGGTTCTTTTTCACATCCCGCGACCTCAAGTACCCATCAGGGTCCCGGTCCAACCGTGCCACAGCTGCTGGGTACTGGAAGGCCACTGGGAAGGACAGACCAGTGCACATTCGCCACACAGGAAGCGGCGGTGGAGGCAAAGGGGAGCAGACATTCAGAGCAGGAATAAAAAAGACCCACGTCTTCTACATGTGAGTTCATTTCTGCAGCTTCTTAATCGCCGCCTCTCAGGCATCAGCAGCCCCACTGCCTTAATGTACGTCTCAGGTGTCCGGGTTATTTGTTTGAGCCTTTGTCTCTGCTTGTTCTTTATATGTTTGTCGTCATTGGATTGCTAGTTCGGGCTTGAAAAGAAATGTTCAGGTCTTTGGACCATGTTTGAGTGACTTTTACTCTCCATATGATAAGTCTTCCTAATCCTTGTTTATCGTTTTGCTGGTGTGGGCAACAGGGGGCGAGCGCCAGGAGGGGACAAGACTGACTGGGTGATGCACGAGTACCGGCTGGCAGAGGACTCGCCTGAAGCTGGACCTGCTGCTACAGACGTGGCACATGCTACAGCTGCGGCAAGCGAATCAGACCCAGCAGCTGCTACATATAGCAGCGCACCTGGTGTGGGTGCAGCTGATGGCACTGCCATAGGCGGGAGCAGCAGTAGAAAGACTGAAGTGACACACCTAGACACTGGTGCAGGTGGTGATGTAGCTGGTGGCTTGGGCAGGAGCAGTAGCAGCAGCTCCAAATCCAGCAGTCCAAAGACCGAACCTAGCAGTGATCGACGGATCGGCACGACGTCATGGGTGGTTGTACGAGTGCTCAAACGAAGCTCCCTGACAGCGGAGGAAGAAGCAATGGTGGCAAAGCAAACTGTGGTAGCACAACCAATGATGTCACGGAATGAGTTGCTAGAACAGCAGACGATGGTGATGCAGCAGCAGTGTGGGGCTCCTTCATCAAAAGGAAAACCAGAGAGGGATGAAGAGGCACCACTGGCAGGGTACCATGCGGATTTATCAGTGCGTGGCACGCACTTTAGAGGTGATTCACCCTCACAAGATTCTCCTCAGAATAACTCCCCAACTATCCTGTCCCAGAACTCCTCTTGGTGCGCAATGCCTGTGGAAGTGCAGAGCAGTGATGTGGCAAGCCTAGCACCAGCTGTAGGTGCAACGATGCCTGTGGTTTCGGCGGAGGGAGACGCATCAATAGTGGCAAAGGTGGCAAAAACAGGAGCTGCAGAGGCATCAGCAGTCGAAGCAGTACCAATGGAGGTAGAAGGAGCAGGAGCAGCAGTGGGAGCAGATAGGGAAGGCAGCAGCTCAGCAGACAAGCAGCAGAAAGGCAGCAGACAAGCAGGGGTGTTGTTGAAGGGCCCATTCTTCCCAGAGAACATGCCATCTTTCAAGCACTATCTCTTTGAATTAAAACCACCTAGAAGCGGCAGGAGTGATGGTGGTGTGGACGGCGGGGATGGAATGGGAGAGCAGCAGCAAACGGAAGAGGAGCAGCAGATGCGAAAGGAGCAGAAGAAGCGGGAAATGGAGAAAAAACTGGACTGGAGGGTAGAACTGGACAGTAGCGAAGAGGACGGGCAGAAGGTGCAGGAGAAGGGTAATCAAGAGCAGGTACGTTGGCACGTGGAACATAAACAAGCGACCAGAAAGAAGAAAACGAACTGGCAGAGGCTGACAAGCAGGCAGGAGCAGCAGATAACCACTCCCCAGCGTCAGAGGGACCTACAGCAAGAAGGGCCGACTGGTGCAGCTTCTCCTGCTGCTGCTGATAATACGGCTGCTGCTGATAATACGGCTGCTGCAGCTGCTGCTGGTACTGCTGGTGCTGCTTGTTCAGGTGAAGAAGGCGACAGGTCAGCAGATCCAGATATCCGTGTTGAGGACCTGCAAGAGCTAGCTGACATTCTCAACTCTCTTTTGCGAACTCAGGTCACCAGCACCACACCTGCTACTAGAACTTCCGCTAGGCCCACTTCCAGTGATGCTGCCGCTACTGCTCCTACTGTTCCCCCCCCTGCTGCTGCTGCTTCCACTGCCACTGCCACTGTGGCTCATTTGGTTTCAAGTGAACTCCAACCCTTGGGAGGGTCAGGACCTGGTGTGGTCCCAACAGGTGTTGCGCCTTCTGCTACTCCTGAGGTAGCTTCAGCAGCTCGCAGAGTTGAGTCTGGAGGGTTCCAGCACAGCACAGCAGCAAGTTCTTTGAGGATAGCACGTGCTCATTCATTCGATCAATCTTTACATGCAGCCACATCACCCTCTGTAGCACCCTCAACAGCACCCCCACGGGGGAAAAGGCACAAAGGACAGCAAGGGGGAAAACCTGGGGACCAGGACCAGCTACGCCAGCAGCAGAAGGAGGAGGAGAAGCAACGTCAGCAGCAGCAGCAGCAGCAGCATGCACTTCAAACACTTCAACAGCAGAGACTCAGTCCTGATCAGCCGAACCAGCAACAGCCTACAGTAGAAGAAAACTCCAAATGTAAGCAAGACCATGTGGACGAGCCCAGGGGTAATCACCCATGGCAAAGGGCTCAGGAGAACATGCCTCAGCAGCAAGGAATCAGTCCTGATCTTCCATGGCAGAGAAGCGTTTCTTGTCCCGCTGTCTCTCTACCACTTCAGGCTCCCAGTGAAAGCATCAACCAGTATGATACGCCCTTTCGCACCTCCCACAGCCTAGATTATCAGCAATCCCAGTCGATGCATGAAGAGCTGGAGGGACAGGGAAGGTTGTATAGGAGGTATTTTAGCGACCTGCTGCATACCAGTGTGTGGGAGATCAGAGAAACGGAGGTGGCTGGAGAAGGGATGGAAGGAGAGAGGATGGAAGAGTGGGGTGGCTTGGAGGGAATGACCCGTAGCAGCAGCTGGGGCGCAGGAGCACATGGTTTAGGGAAGGATCATGGAGAACACAGCTTGACAGGTGTGAGAGTTGGAGCAGCAGGATTCGCAGCAGCAGGAGTAGCAGCAGTAGGGATAGAAGCAGCAGGGGTAGTAGCAACAGGGGTAGCAGCAGCTGGTTCAGGAATGGGAGTGACAGCAGAGGGAGATGCAGCAGCAGGGATAGAACCAGCCGGTGCAGTGGTGGAGACAGTAGGGTTGGGAGTTGCATCTATGAGAGTAAGAGGAGGAGGGGGAGTGGAAGGAGGAGAAGGAGGAGATGATATGATGACATTGGTACATGGGATGGAACTAGAGGAGCTGGAGGCACTTCTACTAGATGTGGATGAGGACGAAAACATGGAAATCAGCAGCAGCATGGTCAGTGGGTTCAGCCACCACTCCAGTACCAGCATAGACTGCCGCGCCGCGCTCCCCATTGACTCTGGTGTTCCACCCAGCGACTGTCAAAACAGAATCAATGATAACCATAGCACCACCAATCTGACGCGTGCTGGCGACACAACTGCAGGTGAACAAGTGGGATTACTCACAGGACCGGCACCATCCGTAGCACTGGGACCATCATTGGGACAGAGATTTTTTGTGTTCACGCCAATGTGTAATGGGTCTGGAGTCTCATTTGCATCAGAGGAAGGGACTGCTGCTGCCATGGCTGCATATCCCACTACCATTACTACTGGTGGCAGTGATGGCATGCGGTCTAAGAGGCATGAGATTTTGCTGCCGCCAGAACCTTTCTTCCCAGCACGAGCAGTGGTAGGGACAGGATGCCGGGCACAGACAGGAGGAGCAGCAGAAGAATCTGGAGGATTAAAAACAGCAGCAGGAGCAGCAGCAGCAGCAGGGGCAGCAGCAGCAGGGGCGGCAGCAGCAGCAGCAGCAACAGCAGGTGCAGCAGCAAAAGCAGCGGCACCAGTGGCAGAATTTGGAGGAACAGCAGCCAGAGAAGGTGCAGAAGTAGTTACTGCAGGCAGGATTATCAGTGCAGCAAGGGGGACTCCGATAGGGAATCGTGGACTGGGCAGCAGCCAGGGCCTTGGAAGGATGCTCTCTCCCAAAAGGAGTCGTGAAGAGGACTGCTGAGTCTTGCTGCAAGCAGCTGTTGTATGGGCGGGTATGTTCCCTGGGGCTAGTTGAGTTGGTTGCTGAAATTTCTAAATAACCGGCTTGTCTCAAAAGGAGTCATGACGAAGGCACCATTGCAGCACAACGGTAGCCACTGCCATAAGCTACTTAAGCAATAGGCTAGGAGGTGATTTTTGCTTCTGTGTTTGTTTTCGCAACCAAGCTGTAATTGAGACTAGCAAACAACCAGTAACCAGCCAGGTGGAGCCAAACCCCCAAGCATTTGGCACAGAGCAGTGACAAGGGAGAGCCAGCCGAGCTGGCCCATAGAGGCCTCTCCCACTGCTGAGACGGGAGAGGATACATGTAAGTGGATAGTGATGGAAGGAAGACAGGGAGGATGCCCAGGGAGCTTAGGGCATTGCTGGAGTGAGGGCAGCAAGGACAAGAGAACACCTAGGCGGGAGGAGGAACAAAAGCAAGAGGAGGAATGATTTCCGCCAACCCTTTTAATTTAAAATCAGCATTACGACCAGTTATCTCCAACCCTGCTACTGCAGCACCCCACCTTAAATGGGCACTTCTTTGGCTTGTCTCTAGATGGTTCCTGAGTCGACTTGCAGTACAACATCTTCCATCCCCTCTTCTTGCTCCTGCTCAACCTGAGCTCACGAATCCTTTCTGTCTCAGAATTAGAATAGGAGTAACTCAAAGCACAAACATTAATTCCATGGCAATCCAGACTAGCCCCCTTTCTCCCCCTCCCTCCCCCCCCCTCCGTACATCTGTCCTCAGCTAATCCTTTTTTAAATTATATTCGCCCCCCTCGTCATGCATCCAATCCAACCATTCAATCTGAGCCAGCGGTCACCATCCAATGCACACTACCATAAGAACACAACCCCCCATGTCAAAAAGCTGCCTGCAGCAGGACAGCAGTCCTCTTCATGACTCCTTTCGGGAGAAAGCATCCTTACAGTGCCCTGGCTGCTGCTCAAACCGCAATTCCAAATTTCTGGTCCCCCTGATACAAGGAAAATCGTTCCTGTAGTGGCTGCTTCTGTATCGGCTCCTCCTGCTACTTCTCCTGATTATGCTGCTGCTGCTGCTGCTGGTGGTGGTTCTGCTGCGGCTGCAGCTGCCAAAGCTGCTGTTTCTGCTGCTGGCGTTAAAAAGATTGGCTCTGGCAGCAGTAGAGTGTCTTGCACCCTTAGCCACATCCAGTCACAGTCACTGCTACCCGTGTTGTTCACAGTGTGATAACTGGCCATGGCCACAGCTACATCCTTTTCTGATGCGAATCTCCATCTAGAACCACCATGCACTGGCGAGAACATGGGCAATCCCTGTCCCACTGACGACCCCAGCGCCACGGATGGTGGCAGTTTCACAGCGGTGTCAGTCCTGTGAATGATCCCATGAGTTCACCTGCACTTGTGTCGCCAGCATGTGTCAGAATCGTGGTGCTACCATGACCGTTGCTGCTGTTTTGACCGTCGCTGGGTGGAACACCAGAGTCAACGGGGAGCGCGGCGCGGCAGTCTATGCTGGTACTGGAGTGGTGGCTGAACCCACTGACCATGCTGCTGCTGATTTCCATGTTGTCGTCCTCATCCACATCTAGTAGAAGTGCCTCCAGCTCCTCCAGTTCCATCCCATTTACCGATGTCATCATATCATCTCCTCCTTCTCCTCCTTCTCTTGCTCTCATAGCTGCCCCTGCTGCTGCAAATCCCACACCCACTGTCGCCAACACTGCTGCTGCATCTCCCACTGCTGTCACTGCCATTCCCGAACCAGCTGCTTCTACCCCTGCTCCTTCTACTCCTGCTGCTCCAACTCCTACACCTGCTGTCAAGCTTTCTTCTCCATGATCCATCCCCAAACCATGTGCTCCTGCGCCCCAGCTGCTGCTACGGGTCATTCCCTCCAAGCCACCCCACTGTTCCATCCTCTCTCCTTCCATCCCTTCTCCAGCCACCTCCGTTTCTCTGATCTCCCACACACTGGTATGCAGCAGGTCGCTAAAATACCTCCCATACAACCTTCCCTGTCCCTCCAGCTCTTCATGCATCGACTGGGATTGGTGATACTCTCGGCTGTGGGAGGTGCGGAAGGGCGTTTCATACTGGTTGGCGCCTTGACTTAGTGCCTGAAGTGGTAGAGAGACAGCGGGACAAGAAACGCCTCTCTGCCATGGAAGATCAGGAATCATTCCTTGTTGATGAGGCATGTGCTCTTGAGCCCTTAGCCATGGGTAATCGGCCCTGGGCTCATCCACATGGGCTTGCTTACATTTGGAGTCTTCTTCTGCTGTAGGGTGTTGCTGCTTCTGCTTGTCAGGACTGAGTCTCTGCTGTTGAAGTGTTTGATGCTGGTGGAGTTCAGCATGCTGCTGCTGCTGCTGCTGCTGCTGCTGCTGCTGCTGCTGCTGCTTCTGCTGCTGCTGCTGCTGACGTTGCTTCTCCTCCTCCTTCTTCTGCTGCTGGCGTTCCTGGACCTGGTACTCAGATTTCCCCCCTTGCTGTCCTTTGTGCCTTTTTACCCGCAAGGATGCTGTCGCGGGTGCTACAGAGGGTGCTGCGAAGGGTGCTACAGAAGGTGCTGCAGAGGGTGCAACAGAGGGTGCAACAGCTGCATGTAAGGGGGTGTATTCATCATGCTCCTGCTACTCCTGCTGCTGCTTCTCATCCCCCTTCTGCGACTGCTAGCGTTGCTGGTCCTGGTACCCAGATTTCCTCCCCTGGCTCTTGCAGATCCTCAACACGGATATCTGGATCTGCTGACCTGTCCCCTTCTTCACCTGAACTAGCAGCACCAGCAGTACCAGCAGCAACAGCAGCATCAGCAGCAACAGCAGTACCAGCAGCAGCTGCAGCAGCCGTATTATCAGCAGTAGTAGAAGAAGCTGCACCGGTCGCCCCTTCTTGCCGTAGAGCCCTCTGCTGTTGGGGGACTAGCTGGGGAGTGATAACCTGCTGCGCCTGCCTGCTTGTCAGCTTCTGCCAGTTCGTTTTCTTGCTGGTTGTTTGCTTATGTTCTTCCTGCTCTCAGTCACCCTTCTCCTGCTCCTTCTGCCCGTCCTCTTGTCTACAGTCCAGTTCTACCCTCCAGTCCAGTTTTTCCGCCATTTTCTGCTTCTTCTGCCCCTTTCGCATCTGCTGCTCTTCTTCCGTTTGTTGCTGCTCTCCCATTCCATTCCCACAGATAGTGCTTGGAAGATGGCAAGTTCTCCAGGCAGAGCGGGCCCTTCAAGAACTCCCCTGCTTGTCTGCTGCTTTTCGTCTGATTGTCTGCTGAGGTGCTGCTTTGCTTGTCTGCTCCCACTGCTGCTCCTGTTCCTTCTACCTTCACTGGAGCTGCTTCGAGTGCTTCTTTCTCTGCTGCTCCTGTTTTTGCCACCTTTGCCACTATTGATGCGTCTTCCTCCTCTGGACCTACAGGCATCATTGCACCTACAGCTGCTTCTCGGTTTGCCACAACGCTGCTCGGCACATCCACAGGGTAGGCAAAGTGGGTAGGCAAGGTGTTAAGGAAAGATGGGTAAAGTGATTGGTTAGGTATGGTGGGTAGGCAAAGTGGGTAGGCAAGGTGTTAAGGAAAGATGGGTAAACTGATTGGTTAGGTATGGTGGGTAGGCAAAGTGGGTAGGCAAGGTGTTAAGGAAAGATGGGTAAACTGATTGGTTAGGTATGGTGGGTAGGCAAGGTGTTAAGGAAAGATGGGTAAACTGATTGGTTAGGTATGGTGGGTAGGCAAAGTGGGTAGGCAAGGTGGATGTTCAAGGCGAGCGTTCAAGTGAAAGTTCAATTGTGTGAGGGTGCAGTGTGTGGAGCTACCAAAGCATGATGCCCTCTGCATGTCTGGTGTGGGATTATGGTTGCAAGAATCGAGGGTGTGTGAGCCCTCGTCTGCATTTACTTGGAATGTTGACTTCTGCTTGCTGCCCGTCATTCACCGTGTGGTATTTCATGGATGACCATACTGCTTGCCGAGCTCTGTTCGTAAGCAGACTGGCATTTGGCTCTCTTCTTCCTTCAGTCAATTCCCTATTTTTTTCTCGCTCACCCTTTCCTGCTGCTTGCACTTGCACCCTGAATCTCATTTCCTCTCCACAGGTCTAAGGGTGCTTTGTTACGGGCATGTGTCTGAACATCTTCTTGGAGCTTGTGTCTCGTGCTACTGCGAAGCAGTACGGCTGGAGCACGAGGTGTATTGAAGTTTACCACGGTGCCACACGAATCGGACGTGCGATTTTCCTGTAGCAATGCATTCTAAGTTCAGGAAACATGTGAAGCCATAATGGTCACACCTCTTGTCCATACCGGTATGTTTTGAGGATGACGGTGTTGGTTAGGATACGACTCATTATCGAGTGCACTTTCTGATTCATGGGGATTGGCGAAGAGGATAACGAATTGGTGTACAACTTTATCAAATGGCTGATATAGTGGGATGTAGAACAAGGCTAATAAATCGATAGCATAATCTTGAACTGAAAACAAATCAGCTTTGGATGAGACATGCTCCCAGATGGCCCACCTAAAATGTAGCTCTTGCGCTTTGCAATCTCTTAGTGAGGTTTATACGACAGATACCGGCCCCGCCAACAATGGGTAAATCAGATCCATGCATGTGCTGCACTCCTTTGTCCTTCCTTCACTGCTCTCAGCAAGCAGCGCCAGCAGGCAGCCAGCCAGGGGGAGGAGGGAAAAGGGGCGGATGCTGTTGGTGAGCTTGGCAAGGGGGATGGGGGAGGAGGCAGAGGGCGTGGTGGAGGGGGCTGGTGAGGGTGTAGGTGAGGGGGACGCGGGGGGAGATGGGCTGGCAGAAGCTGTGTTCGATGTGGAAGGTCTGGCAGGAGAAGTGTAGGGGAGGGCAGGTGTTGGTGGTCGTCCTGTGAGGGAATGGGAGAAACAGAGGAGAGGAGGATGCATAGAACAGGGTAGGGCAAGAGAGCGCAGTGTATGGATTGTGACACAAGGCAAGGTGAGTGTGGCTGGGAGAGTGAGAGTGAATTGCACAACTAAGACAGCTCGTGCATTTCCGGTTCAATTTGATTCAGCGATCAGTTATACCTGAATTAACCTAAGTCGGTTTTTGCTCATGTCTAAGGAGTGCCACTCAGGAGCATCACTTGAACCAGCGTCACTAAGGAGAGGCACTAGAGAGCAATCCTCGCAGATACGCAAGATGAGAAGTCGATGTTGAACTGGAACTCGAACTCTATGTTACGGCAAGCAGGCACCTGCGGCACATTGCCAGTTAGGTAGTTGGAGCTCAAGTCCCTGGCGACGTGGGGAGGATTGGGGGGAGGGAGGGAGGGAGGGGGTGAGAGGGATAGGTCGAAGGAGAGGACAGGGGAGGTGACGTAAAGATGGAGGGGATGAAAGGGGGGAGGGAGGGGGGTATGTGGGAAGGTGGTGTGGTGCAGCCAAGAAGTGATTGGAGGGAATAACAGGCTGGTGAGTGACTTGGGGGCGAAAAGATCAGAGGCAGGAGACAGAGGACCCCACACCACAGCTCGTTGCTGTACAAGAAGCTGCCAGGAAGGGGAGGACGGAGGGGAAGAGTTGCGAGAGGCTTTTGAAACGCGTCCATGCAACTTGTGCTGCCCACCGGATTACACTGCCTCCTCGGGGGCTGGCTCTTCCTGACAGCAGCAGGGCGAGGGGGGAGCGTGAATAGGGGAGACCGAGAGAGGGGGCGGGGGGTGAAGAGGGGGGGAAGGGTTGGGAGAGAAGCTTAAAGGAGGGGTGTTGGGGAGAGGGGATGTGTGCCGGCCACCGAATTTTGCCTCCTCCTCGGGGGCTCCTCCTAACAGGGCTAGGGTGGGGTGGTAGAGGGTCGGGAGAGAGGGTCGGGGGAGAGGGTCAGGGGAGAGGGGTGGGGGAGAGGGGTGCAGGAGAGGGGTGTGGGAGAGGGGTGTGGGAGAGGGGTGGGGGAGAGGGGTGTGGGAGAGGGGTATGGGAGAGGGGTGTGGGAGAGGGGCGTGGGAGAGGGGTGGGGGAGAGGGGTGTGGGAGAAGGGTGTGGGAGAGGGGTGCGGGAGAGGGGTGTGGGAGAGGGGTGTGGGAGAGGGGTGGGGGAGAGGGGTGGGGGAGAGGGGTGTGGGAGAGGGGTGTGGGAGAGGGGTGTGGGAGAGGGGTGTGGGAGAGGGGTGCGGGAGAGGGGTGCGGGAGAGGGGTGCGGGAGAGGGGTGCGGGAGAGGGGTGCGGGAGAGGGGTGCGGGAGAGGGGTGCGGGAGAGGGGTGCGAGAGAGGGGTGTGGGAGAGGGGTGGGGGAGAGGGGTGCGGGAGAGGGGTGCGGGAGAGGGGTGTGGGAGAGGGGTGGGGTAGAGGGGTGCGGGAGAGGGGTGCGGGAGAGGGGTGCGGGAGAGGGGTGTGGGAGAGGGGTGTGGGAGAGGGGTGTGGGAGAGGGGTGTGGGAGAGGGGTGTGGGAGAGGGGTGTGGGAGAGGGGTGTGGGAGAGGGGTGTGGGAGAGGGGTGTGGGAGAGGGGTGGGGGAGAGGGGTGGGGGAGAGGGGTGTGGGAGAGGGGTGTGGGAGAGGGGTGTGGGAGAGGGGTGTGGGAGAGGGGTGGGGGAGAGGGGTGGGGGAGAGGGGTGGGGGAGAGGGGTGGGGGAGAGGGGTGTGGGAGAGGGGTGGGGGAGAGGGGTGTGGGAGAGGGGTGCGGGAGAGGGGTGTGGGAGAGGGGTGTGGGAGAGGGGTGCGGGAGAGGGGTGCGGGAGAGGGGTGCGAGAGAGGGGTGTGGGAGAGGGGTGGGGGAGAGGGGTGCGGGAGAGGGGTGCGGGAGAGGGGTGTGGGAGAGGGGTGGGGGAGAGGGGTGCGGGAGAGGGGTGTGGGAGAGGGGTGTGGGAGAGGGGTGCGGGAGAGGGGTGCAGGAGAGGGGTGCGAGAGAGGGGTGTGGGAGAGGGGTGGGGGAGAGGGGTGCGGGAGAGGGGTGCGGGAGAGGGGTGTGGGAGAGGGGTGGGGGAGAGGGGTGCGGGAGAGGGGTGCGGGAGAGGGGTGCGGGAGAGGGGTGCGGGAGAGGGGTGTGGGAGAGGGGTGTGGGAGAGGGGTGTGGGAGAGGGGTGTGGGAGAGGGGTGTGGGAGAGGGGTGTGGGAGAGGGGTGTGGGAGAGGGGTGTGGGAGAGGGGTGTGGGAGAGGGGTGTGGGAGAGGGGTGTGGGAGAGGGGTGTGGGAGATGCGTGGCAGAGAACAGAGGACAACTTTCACACGAGTTGCATCTTCGAGCTCACCTTTTTGACTGGGCCATCACCACTTACAACCCCCAGACCCCTTTACGCCTCAACTTCTGTCAACCCTTCGATATCGTACCTATACCCTCATACCCTGCCCTCACTCCCTCGTAGGTGCGACCACTCGCGCATGACCCGCGAGGCACCCTTTATCCCCCCGTCTCCCCTAATCCCCTCTTCCCCTCCTCCCCATCCCCCCAACGCTTACCTGTATCCCCCACAATCATCCCTTATCCCATGGCTCACCCACAGGTGCTCTCCCCCCCTTTTATCCCCCCGTCCCCCGTACTCCTTCCTCCCCGCCCTGGGCCCCCCCACCGCTTCATCGTATTACCACAATCATCCCTTGTCCCATGGTTCACTCGAAGGCGCAGCACCAGGCGCAGCCAGCCACTCGCGCAGCACCATGCGGCCTGCTACTGCTGGCACGCGGTCCTCACGCACCTGGCGGGGTGGAAAAGGGGTAGGAGGGGGAGGAGGGGGGACAACTTATAACCAGCTTGCACATCACAATGTGGTTGCTGGCGCATGGACCTCACACACCTGCGGGGATAGGTGGAAAGGGCACGGGGGGAGAGGGGGATGCTCCAAGATGTCTCATAAAACAATCACCATGCGGTCCGCTGGGGGACACACAGTTGTCACACACCTGTCGAGAGGAGGAGAGGGACACGGGGGGGAGAGAGCGCACAACAACTGTGCAGGGTGTTTTAAGACGTTGCGATAGAAGCTTCTGTGCGGGGCGGGGGGACGGGCATGGAGGGGAGAGAGAATGCGAGGGTGTTGTAAGGCATCGCAATAGAAGCTTCTACAGAACCAGGAGGTGTGCTGGCATGTGGCATGTGGTGTGCTGGCATGTGGCATGTGGTGTGGTGGCATGTGGCATGTGCTGTGCTGGCATGTGGCATGTGGTGTGGCATGTGGTGTGCTGGCATGTGGCATGTGGTGTGCTGGCTGGCATGTGGCATGTGGTGTGGTGGCATGTGGCATGTGGTGTGCTGGCATGTGGCATGTGGTGTGCTGGCATGTGGCATGTGGTGTGCTGGCTGGCATGTGGCCCTCACACACCTGCAGCACACCGAGCGGATGGGGGCACAGAAGGGAATGGGCGGGGATGGTAGAGTAGACAAGGGAAAGTGTAGGGATGTCTTGCAACGTTATGAACAGGCTTGTAAAGACCGTTCGGTACGCAGGCACACGTCCTCGCACAATGCAGGGGGTAACAAGGGAAGGGGGGGAGTTAGGACGGGGGTGAGTGGGGGAAGGAGGGAGGGGGAAGGGGGAAAACGGCAGGGACGGCGCGGAGGGGAACAGGCAGAGAGGCTAAGGGTGGAGGATGTTGCACAGAGTGTGCACACCTGCGCGATCAATGTCACACAGGTGGAGAAGTGAGAGAGTTCTAAACTTGAGAGAACACGATTGTTAGCAATCTCCGTCACCACTCATTTCTCCTCACACTTTCATCACCAACCAAAACCCCCATTCCCTCACCCCCCTTTTCTCCCCTCTCCCCATCTTTCCCCACCTTCTCAACCCTCCCCTCCCCATCTCTCCCTGCGCGCCTCTCCCCTCTCCCCTGACACACCTCGAAGGCGTCGGCGACCTCGTCGCGAGAGCACCCTCTTTCGTTCTCCATGCCTGCCCCCTCCCCCCCCCACCCATCACCCCTCCCCCCCAACCCCCCCCCCCCCCCCTTCCCTCCCCTCCTCTCCGCGCCCTCTCCCTGCCCTCTCCAGCCATCTCCCTGCCCCCACGTCTCCCCTCCACCGCGCCCACCTCTCCCTGCCCTCTTCCCACGCCCGCACCTCAAAGAAGGCGTGCGATCTCGTTGGGGGGGCATCCGCTCTCACTCTCCATGCCCATCTGCCGCCGCCGCCCCCTTCGTGTGGGTCCTCGATTGTCAGCCGCGCCAGCCGAAAATGCACTGCATCAGTACACGGCATCCCAAAACGCGGGGGTTTCGTTTCTTACCACCTGGCAACATTGGGGTAACATTTCGGTAGGTTTTCCAACACCTACTCCAAAGATTGTGGCCAACATTCCCTCTCGTAACTTTGAAATGACTCGGCTTCAACAGAAACTTCTCGGAATCTAAACCACTGAATCTCAGCCGTTAATCTCATTTACACCCAAATCTTGCTATATCGTAACTTTGAAATGACTGACCAATCGGAGCTCGCTACTTGGTCTGCAGGGATGGGCTACCGCGGTGTACCCAAGCCCCATCGACTTCATCGTATTGGTTCGCGACAGATTGTTCTTATTGGTTGCGACAACAATCCGGCGATTACATGGAGTCTACCTGGTTACGTTTCTAGTTACGCATACACTCAAACGTAGAATGCAATTATCCTATGCACATATCAATCAACAGTTGTTACGGCGCTACTACGTTACTTTGTTACTACATATTGTAACAATAAATTTTAGAAATTTTAATTTAACCGCATACGTGAATAACATTTTTTAAAACAATTGTATAAATTGTATATTCAATATAAATCTGGATATATTTCCAGATTAATATGCACTCGTTTTTCAGCAAGACGAGTGCTACAGTAATAATTGAGGACCTTCCTCAACTGCTATTACCCATCAAGCACCACGCCATACTCAAATATCATCCAGACCCTCCTGGCTAATAGAAACGCCACAGTCCGAGCACGAAAAGCGCCAGGCATTGTTGGCACTGTCCCACCAGGGACCCGTAGCATTGGTGCTCGTATCGACTGCGTCTCGCGCCCAACGTCGCACGTTGTTGTGGTACAGCACAACACCTTCTCTGTTCCTTGTCGTGTTGCGGGACAATTCTTCCCCATGTATGATCTTGTGCTCTACCTGCATGGACATAAGGAGGCATTGATGAATTACAACTAGTATGCGTTACACTCAATTCAGAAAAGGACGTTACACTCACTCACCCCATACAGCCAAAAAGCAATCTGTTTGAGCTTCAGCGCAAGGACATCCTCCCCATCGCGGCGGAAAGACGCCGCAATCAAGCGCGTGAAGACAGCGTTGGAGAAAGGGACCCCGTTCTGGTTGCAATGCCACGTGTACAGATCGTAAGACCCATCGACTGCACACACATTCAGGCATTGCAAAACAGATGGGATTGCATAACAGAAGCAACATAGGGAGAGAAGACGGGGCCGGAGTAAACAGAAGAGGGATGAGAACCATATTCCAGCCAGCGCCCCTGACTCTCATTCAGCTGTCGGTTTTGTCACTGAGCAGGGGAAGGGAAGGAGAGAGGGGAGTGAAGGGGGGTGAGGTGAGGTTATTGCATAGCCTCGACTACAGCTGGCGATACAAGGCATGGAACAGGGAGTCTACTCACAAGGATTTGGGGAAGGCACATGGGAGAGAGGAGGGAAGTGGGAGTTGAGACAAGGTGGGATGAGAACAGAGTCTTCAGCACCCTCCCTTGAATCGCCAGTGAGCACTATGCTGGCGGTTTTTCACATAAGGACGGGAAGGAGAGAGGGGAGTGGAGTAGAGGAGGGTGGGGTGGAGGATTGCGTAGCCCCGACTACAGCCGGCGATACCAGCTGTGCACCAGTAGGACTGCTGAGATATGGGGTGAGAAGGGTTTAGGGGAGAGAGAAGGGAAGCGGGTGTTGAGAGAAGGAGGTGGGGGATGAGAACAAATTCCTCAGCAACCTCCCCTAAATCGCCTGTGAGCACTATGCTGGCGGTTTTTTTCAATGAATAGGGACGAGAATGAGAGAGGGGAGTGGAGGAAAGGGGGTTGGTGTGAGGTGATTGCTTAGCCTCGACTACGGATGGCGATACAAAGCATGCACCTGTGGGGCTGCTGAGATGTGGGTTGAGTTATAGGGGAGAGAGAAGGAAAGCGGGTGTTGAGGTGGAATGAGAGCGAAATTTCTAGCATGCTTATTGATATCTCCTGTGAGCATCACTGCTGGCGGCTTAGTTCACTGAGAGGGACGGGAAGGAGAGAGGTGAGTGGAGAGAAGGGTGGTAGGGTAAGGTTATTGCCTAGCCTCAACCACAGCTGGCGGAAAAGGCATGCAGTACGAGGCCTGCTAACAGGGATATGTAGTGAGAAGGCAGGACAGAGAGAAGGGAAGCGGGAGTTGACGTAAAGGGGGTGTGATAAAAACGTTTTGAACTTTTTGTTTCATAAAGCTCTCCTGAATCTCCTGCGAGCAATCTACAGGCGGTTTTATTGATTGAGCAGGGGAAGGGAATGAGTGACGGGAGTGGTGAAGGGGGTTGGGTGGTGAGGTGATTGCCTAGTCTCGACTACTTCTGGCGATTGAAGGCATGCAGCAAGGAGGCTGCTCACAGGGATATGGGGTTGCGAAGGCAGGGGAAAGAGGACGGGAGCGGGAGTTGATGGATGGAGGTTGGATGAAACGGGTTTCTTTCAGCACCCTCCCCTGAATCTCCAATTAGCACTTTGTTGGCATTTTTTTACCTGAGCAGAGGACGGGAAGGAAAGAGGGGAGTGGAGTGAAGTGGGGTGGGGTGAGGTGATTGCCTAGCCTCGACTACAGGCATGCAACAGCCAGGCTGCTCACATAGATATGGGATCAAAAACATTTCCTTCCAGGTAGTGGGGCAACAGAGACATACCTGGCTTGTATTGCACTTTCCACGCCTCGATCAAGGTGGAACCCATGAGCTTGCGGTTTTGGTCGGGGCGTTGAATGTACAAGTCAAACGCTTTGTAAATACCGCATCGACCGGTATGCAGAATGACATGCCGTCCATCCTGCAGCTTGTTGCGGATATAGCCACGTCGAACTGGGTCAAAACGATACAAATGAAGCAGGTCGGTCCGCTGACCAACCGTCTTGTACTTCAAAGCAGCAGCAAGCGCTCCCAGCAGCACCTTCCGAGATGGCCAGAAGTCCATCCTACTATCCGGCATATCCCAGAAAAGAACGGTGAGTGCATCCAACATTGCCACCTGGTGACAGTCGGGAAGTAACACACGCAGCATGTTGAGGATGTGTTACATTGAAACCAAGATACGAGATAGAGAAATTGTTGCCTGCGTAAGCATGAGAGGCAAAAAACATAAGAATGTGGATGGCGTGCCAGCATGGAAGGTGCTTACATAAAGCCCTTTGTTGACCTCGGGGACTCGCCTCATCGCTGCAGCAAGGTCGAATGCGAGGACCTCCTGCTCCGGGGTCAAGTGTTGCAGGCCATGCTCGGTTCCCCGGGCGTGAGCGTTCCCCACGGCCCTCCCAAGCAGCCGATCGTTGATCGGTACGATGGGATGCCTTCCTGGCTGCACATTAGCTGCGACATTCCCAGAGTTTGGAGACGGTTCCTGCTGCTCGCCCGCACCACCAGAGGTCTCAGCAGGTGACGTTGACCGAGAAAGCGAACGCCTAAGCTCTTCAAGCTCATTCAACAGCCGCTGGTTCTCACGCTGGAGAGCACGATGTGCGGCACGCGCCTCTTCAACATCAGAGGTCGGTTCTGCCACATGCCCGTGCAGTTCATGATCAGCAGCGTGTGTAGTGGCCCGCCCATACGCATCTCCTGTCTGACCGCCCACAGCATCACCGGCCTCGGTTCCACCAGCGTTCGGGATGAGCGGCTCGTCTGCTCCAGAGTTGGTCCAGGTCCTCCCATTGGCCTCGCCAAAGTGGCCGCCAAGCTCGGCGCCTCCAGGCGGGGAGAACACGCCGTTAGTGTTGGTGTCGTCGGGGATGCGCCTCGCGGTTGGCCTTAGCAGCACGCCAGCAGCAGGATTGGCGTCGGTCCTCCAAGCAGCCTGGCCTAACACGCCATCAACAGCAGGGTCGGCAGAGGTCATGCCAGCAGACGGGCAGAAAGGGGCGTCCGGAACCGGTTCGCATGACGGCAGGAACATGCTGCCATCATGGGTCTCAGTGGAGGTGTGCCCAGCAGCTATCGTGCGCATCTTGTCAGGAGCATGGTCGGCTGTAGGTCTTCCAGCGGTCTGGACCAAATGAGCGCCAGTAGGAGTGTTGGCAGAGCTCCACCCAGCCACTTGTCCCAGTTGGCCCCCAGCTGAAGGGTCAGCGGATCTCCTCCCATCCTCGTGCCCCAACCGACAACCTGATGCAGGGTCAGGAGAGCTCCTCCCAGCGGCCTGGCTAAACGGACCGCCTGGTGCAGGATCAGGAGAGCTGTTCAATGCGGTTTGCCCCAACGAACCGCCAGGTGCAGGATCGCCGGAGGTCAGACCCGCAGGCTGGCGGAACAAACCGCCAGATGGAGGGTCAGGAGAGCTGCTCCCAGCGGCCTGGCGCAGCTGACCGCCCGGTGCAGTGTAGGCCGAGGTCGTCCCTGCAGCGTGGCGGAACTGCTGACCTGTGCCAGCAGCAGCAGACGTCAGCCCAGCGGTCTCGCCAAGCAGCCCGCCAGATGCAGCAGCGGCGGTGTTGCTCCCTGCGGCGTGGCGGAACTGCTGGCCTGCGTCAGCAGCAGCAGACGTGCGCCCAGCGGTCTCGCCAAGCAGCCCGCCAGATGCAGCAGCGGCGGTGTTGCTCCCTGCAGCGTGGCGGAACTGCTGGCCCGCGCCAGCAGCATCAGACGTGCGCCCTGCGGCATTGGCGGAACTCTGGCGGGCTGCCTGACCTGCTCGCCGCCCACCCGACCGGCCCTGACTTCCGAAACGCAGAGAATGGTGAGCAGATGGCGTTCCCACGCCATTGACGTGAGCGGAAGTCGCATCACCACGCGAGGCCGGGATTTGTGGAGCATGACCACTGGTGTTGAGCGGTCGATTCTCCTCGTGACGCGGCTGACTTCCTACCGCGTCGGAAAACACAGCGTGTAAGGAGCGCGTCCGAATAGGACCTGCACAAATGAGATCCAGCAACAATGTGTCAATATCTCTCATTGGCCTGCGGAATCAACACAAGGAAGCTAGAAACAGAGTGTAAAATGGTGTGCAACAAAACAACATAAAAAAACTCACTTTTCGGAGAAGATGGTCGAGCCGCCACGTTGATACCGAGAGAGGTAGCATGTCCCATCGATGCAGCACGAATTGCCTGGGTTCCGGGCATCGCGGGAAACCGGCCATTTTGGCGACGCCCGCGGATGGAAGAGATTAGGGCGGAAGCAGTTGCGTTAGACTGTTCCATGACAGAAGAAGTAGAGAAGCTTTGAAGAGTGATTCTCGGTAAGTTTGTGCGGAAAATGAGGCGGACCCGCCATTATATACTACGAAAATAGCGTGACTCCTGGTGAGACGGTGGAAAGTAAGGCTCGTCACTGAATCAGGCTTGGGAATGAGGTGCGGTGAGGCAACGCGCCGGCAGCAGTTGACGATCCGTAGCAAAGCTGAACTGGACGCAAGGCCTGGTGGCAATCTGTGGTAATGACTGTGTCACTGAATCAGCAGTGAGGTGAGGTATGGAAACGCGTTCACAGCAGGTGACGTTCCCTTACTCAGTTGAGAACTGGACGCTAGGCCTGGCGGATATCTGGGGTAAGTGGCTCTGGTGGTCGGCCAGGGTTGGTACAGAACGCTAGGCATGGTGTAAGGTGAGGTTAGTAGCTATGGTCGTGGGCTAGGGTTGGCACAGAGTTCTCAAGTTTGAAATCTCATAATTCAAACAGCCGAACAGAGCAGATAGAGCAAGGCCAAGGGTTTGAAAACGTCGAGCAAGGAGATGGACAAGGAACAACGCCCAGGGCTGTTTCAGGGCTCGCGTGAAGCTCTCCTAGCCCTCGATAACGAAACCCTCAGCACATCCAACCGCTGAGGTTGAGTTCATGAACCTCTCGTGTTAGACACGGATGCTATCAGGGAAACTATCGTTTTGTCGGAACCTCTAGGTAGGTTCAGAATTGTTTGAAAAACAAACCATTTAGTTTTGTATATATATAAAACGGTAAACATTCACTCAAAAGGTCCATTTGAAAACCATAACATTTCGGGAACGACAACTAATTGGGGTGACGAATGCATAGCATCATCAGTGTATCAGTTTCTGGGAATAAAAGTTGCAAGACAAAGAAAACGCACCGTCGAAACGGCATCATCCGCAGTCCAGGTCTGTACACACACGGTTTCACATCATTCGACGTCCAGACCTGCGTAACTCGTTTGCCAGTCGTGCAAATGGCTCCAAACTGATTTGACACCCTTCTATTATCATTCATGACTCTGTGGTGTGAAGAAAACTTGCAAAAATAATCAAGGCAGCGTCGAAACGGCATCATCTGCAGTCGAGGTCTGTACTCGCGCGGTTTCACATCATTCGACGCTCACAACTGCGTCACTCGTTCGCCAATCGTGCGAATGGCACCAAGATGATTCGACACCCTTCTAATATCATTCATGACTCAGTGGTGTTAAGAAACCTTGCAAACATGAGCAACACTGCGTCGAAACAGCATCATCTGCAGTCCAGGTCTGTACTCGCGCGGTTTCACATCATTCGACGCTCAGAACTGCGTCACTCATTTGCCAGCCGTGCGAATGGCACCAAGATGATTTGATACCCTTGTAATATCATTCATGACTCAGTGGTGTGAAGAAACCTTGCAAAAATGAGCAACGCAGCATTGAAACGGCATCATCTGCAGTCCAGGTCTGTACTCGCGCGGTTTCACATCATTCGACGCTCATGTCAGAATGAGAAACGAGAATGGTGTGACTAACAGGAACAAGAGTACAAATGTGAAACCCTAATCTGGTGTACCCTCTAAGGTGTAACCCACTACAGCCTAGAACCACACAAACATATAATGTTTGACACACCCCCATAGGCAAAGTGGGGGAGACCTAGGGGTCACAAGACCAGTCAAGGTAAAACAAGGCAAACAAGCTCAGGGTGGATCTCGAGGATTCCACACAAATTCCGAGCACAAGCAAGCGGTCACAAGACCAGTTCACATGCAGATTTATAATAGAGCAAGAACTACAATGATCACAACCTAGCAAGAGCAAACATGCAGGTATATATATATGTATATATATATATATATAGTGATCACAGTACAGGCAAAGTCAAGAAGTAAGCAAGTGAGGTCCAGACGGCACAAGGCCTTGAAGAGTGCAAAACCGCTGATGGTCAACAAGCGAAAGCGCCTTGGTGAACACATCAGCAGTGTTGGCCTCAGTGGCCACGTAACGCAGACAAAGCTGACCACGCTGCTGTAGCTCTCGAGCTAGAAAGTAACGCAGAGCAATGTGCTTCGTCCTGTGCTCCAGCCTGTGTTCGTCACTTAAGGCAATGGTTGCCTTGTTGTCGACGTACAGCACTGGAGGAGAACGAGGCTGCTCTCCAAGGTCCGTCAGCAGGTAGATGAGCCAGCGAAGCTCCTGGGCAGCCATGGCCGTGGCGTAGATCTCAGCCTCACACCTGGAGCTGAGAACAGAAGAAGAGCGAGTAGAACGCCAAGAGATAGAGCCAGAGCCAAGGCTGAAGGTGTAACCCTGAGACGACCGCTGAGTAGCCTGGTCGTCTGCCCAAGAAGCGTCTGAGTGCCCAGTGAGAACAGGCCGGTCTCGCCCTCCAAGCACTAGCCCCATGCCCGACGTACTGCACAAGTAGCGCAACACCCTCTTAGCTGCATCCATGTGCTCCTTCCGGTGACGGCCGGGAGCGACATAGCGTGCTAAGATGCTGAGAGGGTATGCAAGGTCAGGTCGCGTGCAGGTCATCAGGTACATGAGGCAGCCCACAAGCTCTGGATACGGACCACTCGGCTCTACGGACTCATCCGAAGGCAGAGCTGAGAGCGAGTGTCCCGTAGGCAGAGGAGTGGACTGAGGCGAGGAGTACGTGCAGCCGAAGCGCTGAAGGACCTGCTGCACCATGTGTGATTGGGTCGGGGTAATGGTGCGCTGTGCTCTGTCCCGGGTGATCCGCAAGCCAAGATAGCTTGTCAGTTCACCCAGGTCTGTGCACGTGTGTCTCTTCTGCAGCTCGGACTTCACGTGAGCGAGACCAGCTGTGTCAGAAGTGGCAAAGACCAAGTCGTCGACGTACACGAGGATGTAGAACGGCGGCAGTGAGGTGTCGGTGCGTAGAAACAGCGACGGGTCAGCAGTAGAAGGAGCGAACCCAAGAGCCGCAAGAGTAGTCCTCAGTGTGTCGTGCCACTCACGTGGCGCCTGGCGGAGACCGTAGACAGGCCGCCGGAGGCTCCACTGGGTGCCAGGAGGAAACGACCCAGTGAAGCCAGGTGGGCGGCGCAACCAGATCTCCTCGTGCAGGCTGCCCTGCAAGAAAGCTGTGCTGAAGTCAAGCGAGTGGAGCTCGTAGTCAGGCTGAGCAGCGACGTGCAGCAGAACCCGAAGAGTGGTCATCTTCGGGGTCGGGGAGAAGGTCTGGAAGAAGTCAACTCCCTGCTGCTGACTGAAGCCTCGCGCAACGTAACGCGCCTTGAAGACAGGTGGAGAGCCCGGTGGCCGCTTCACCCTGAAAATCCACATGCCACTGACGATGTTCGCCCCAGGTAGGGGAACCTCGTCGACGTAGGTGCCTGTGGACTTCCAGGAAGCCATCTTTGCGTCCATGGCTGACTGCCACTGAGAGGAGTAGGGACCGGCCATCGCCTCTGCGTAAGAGCGTGGGGTCGGGATGTCTGGTGCATCCGGGTCTCCCTCAGGGGCAACAAGCATGGACACGAGATGGGGCAAAGCAGCAGCAAGGCAACCAAACTCCTCCTGCCTGTCCTCAAAGACGTCAGTTCCAAGGGCACAGTCACCCCCGACGGACGGAGGACAGACAGACTCAGACTCAGCAACAAGACTGGCAGCGTAGTCTAAACGACACGCACCTGCAAAGTCGACAAGCTCAGCAACTAAGGCAGACGCAGCAGTGGACTCAAAGGAAGGGTCAGTGACAACCGTAGCGAGGAGACGTGTGACAGTAGGACTGGCAGCGCGAAGGAAGTCGGACGCCGGGTCAGCAAGAGCAGGAAGAGAGGACGCAGGAGGCGACGGGAGAGAGACACGCTGTGGAGCAGTGGACTGACAAAGTGCCATCTGGTGAGTGCCTGGGACAGCAGGAGGACGCTGACGCTGGATACTACGACCAGAGGTAGCAGCACGAACAGGCGACGCTCGACAAGACGCAGGCGACACAGGACGTGACGCAGGCTCACGACGCTCAGCAAGACCTCCAGTCGGACCAGTGTAAGGAGCAGGCACAGGGAGAGGGGAGGCAGGCGGTAACAGTGGCTGTGACTGGACAGACGGCGGACACCCTAAGGCGGGAGGAGGAAGCTGACCAAGAACCTGCTGAAGGAGTGGAACGAAGTACGGCCGAGGCCGTGCAGCAACTCCCCAACCAGCAGCGTCAACAGCGCCAGGGTCCTCAGCAGCACCTCCAGCAGCACCATCATTACCGCCAGCAGCAGCAGCACCTCCAGCTCCAGCGTCAGCAGCACCCGCAGCAGCTCCAACGCCCAGGTCCTCAGCACCAGCCTCACCTCCAGCAGCACCGCCAGTAGTAACAGCACCTCCAGCAGGACCGCCAGCAGCAGTAGCACCTCCAGCTCCAGGGTCCGTAGTACCAGTAGTAGTGTCAACCCCGGGGACCCCAGCACTAGCAGTCCCACTACGAAGACTGATGTGCCGAGCGTACCACTCCCGGAGCTGTGGGGAAGAGGGCGGCTCCCGCCGCGGCGGGGAAACACGAGCACCAACTCTAGCAGCACCGCGAGCCCGAGACGCACCCCGCCGAAGGCTGCAGTACCGCGAGTACCACTCACGCAGCTGCTGGGAAGAGGGAGCTCCTCCAGGCGTCTCATAGTCTGCTGCAGTACCCCCAGACTCAACAACTCCAGGCTCAGCACCCCCAGACTCGGCAACCCCAGGCACAGCACCCCCAGACTCAGCACCCCCACGCTCAGTACCCCCAGACTCAGCACCCCCAGGCTCCGCACGCTCAGGCTCCGCACGCTCAGGCTCAGCACCCCTACTGGACGCGAGTCGACAGCTACCTCGGCAGGCTCAACCGGGTCTACCTGGAAGACACCTGAGGGAGTGGCACCCTGAGGGGGGAGGCGGTCTACCACTGCAGCACCTGGCGCGAGGAAGAGAGGCGGGGGAGGGAGCTGGGCAGTGCGGTAGGGGAAGAGGCGGTAGAAGGGCACGGACTCTTCAAAAGTGACGTCCTGAGAGGGGAAGACGCGGTGCGAGGCGGGGTGGTAAAACTGTCAGCCAGACGCATCCGGGACAAAGCCAAGAAAGACACACGGAGGAGTGCGGGAGGAGAGCTTGTCCGCAGACGTGTCGCGAACAAAAGTTCGGGATCCCCAGACACAGAAGCGTGACGCATCGCCAACCTCCCCCGTCCACAGCAGTGTGGGCGAGGTCTCCGGCAAGGAGACACGGGGCCAGAGGTTGAGCTGATGCGCAGCGTACCGGACCGCAAACGGCCACAGAAAGGGGGGGGCAGCCGCGTGGACTAAGGAGGTACGAGCGACCTCCATGACCAAGCCAATGCGGCGCTCAGCAACCCCATTCTGCTGTGGAGAGGCCGGAAGTGTGAACGACTGGCGAATGCCGTGCTCGGCACAGTAGGCTGCCAAGAGGTCAGAGGAGAACTCACCACCTCTGTCAGAGTGCAAGCGCAGGACAGGAAACTCCGAGCGAAAACGCTCTCGCAGCTGAAGACGTGCTCTACTGATCCAAGGGATCATAACATCAGGGACTTCACCCTTAGTGCGCAAGGGGAAGACCGTGGTGTAGCACGAGTAGTCGTCAACGACGATCAAGAAGTACCTCTCTTGGCCCTGACCACGTACGCGGGCTGGGCCCCACACGTCCATGTGGAGCGTCTGCAAAGGAGCAGTCGTCGGGGGGAACGAGGAGGAGTGAGGGGCAGCGCGCTGCCGCCCCTCGACACAGGGAAGACAAGGAGGAGCAAGGGAGGGTGGGAGGGGAGGGAGTACCCTAGGAAGACCAGAGACAAGGTACCGGGCGTGCATGCCCCGAAGGCGCTGCACTGACGGGTGACCAAGTCGATGGTGCCAGAGGACTGTCTTGTGCGCCAGAGAGCGACACGAGCAGGGGGCTGACAGCTGACCTGACGCAGACGCAGACGCCGCTACCTGAGGGGACTCAGTGGTCAGTGTGTACAGGTCCGACCCCGGCTGCCGAGTGAAGGTAGCCAGGTGACGGCCCGTCCGAGCACACGTGCAGTGTGTCATGCGCTCGTAGGCAGGGGTGAACTGGTGAACACCCCCATCCTGAAGCGCACAACCCGCAACCAAGTTCGTAGAGAACGAGGGGAGGTGGATACCTGACATTGTGCCCGACGGGATAGCAGGACAAGGAAGGACAGTGGAGGAGGTCGCAATGACCGGACCCCCAGAGGGGTCAGCGAGCGAGACAGCGACTGGTCGAGCAAGGGGCTCAAGAGCAGTGCGGTCACGAAAGAAACAGCGCGAAGCGCCTGAGTCTAGAGTGAAGGTGTGCAGTGCCTCAATGGACTCAGTAGCACCTGGGGTGGCGGACACACAAGCACCTAGAGCAGTAGCCTCACCAGCACCTGGGGCAGCAGACACGCAAGCACCTAGGGCGGCAGCCTCACTCGTGCGGATGCCTGGGTCAGGCGGAACACACAGGTACTGGTCCTCCTCTCCACTAATAGTCAATGTATACATGGCTTTGAGAATAACATCAAAATCAAGATCATAGATATCGATATCCTTCTTGAGGAGATCAGCCCACTGAGGGAGCTCAGGAGCGTCAGGTTACTGAGCACGCCAAGCGTCATCTAGGCGAGAGAAGCAGCGCTGCGCAGTGTGCGCCCTCCCGCACGTCTGTCCCTTGCGGCGACCAGTGCAGATGACGTACGTGCAGCTAAGGCTACCCCCCCCCCCCCACCCCCGTGCTGTAAGTACCACTCACGAAGCTCCTGGGAGGACTGAGGGTGCTGCGTGTTCTGGCCAGTGCCAGAGCCTCCACGACCACCACTGCCGCCGCCACCACGACCACTACCGCCCCTGCCGCCGCCACGTCCACTGCCGCCCCCACCACCGCCCCCACCCCGGCCACCGCCGCCGCCGCCGCTGCCTCCACCACTCCTACCGCTGCCACTAGCCCCTCCAGCCCCGCCACCGCCTCCACCGCCGCCACCACCCCCACCACCGCCTCCCCCGCCGTCACCCCCGCCGCCCTTGCCTCCCCTGCCCTTGCCGCTGCGGCGCCCGCTAGGAGCGGACGCGGACCCGACCTGCTCAGCACCAAGGAGGTCGACAGCAGCAGCAGAGGCGACAGAGGGGAGCAGGGGGGAAGGGGAACACCCCTCGAAGAACGGGGTGCGGGGGTCGCCACGAGAGGCACCTACAGCTACAATACTCTTCTCAGCTGCAAGTAATTCCTTCTCTAGGGCGGCAATGGTGAGCTCAGTGGGGCAGCGAGCTAGAAAGTGGTCCCTGACTGTACGCAGAGTGTCAGGGAGGCGAGTGACTAGGTGGTAGAGAGTGAGCCAGAGCGGCGGAGGGTTGGAGGCAAGAAACTCAGCGGGCATGGCTGCACGGAAGCGGGCATCACTAGTGCGGAGGTGAGTGATGAGGTCAGCGACTGTCTGGAAGGCGGACAGGTCCGGGAACAGGTAGGGAAGCGAGAGGCGGCCTAGTGCAGCTGAGGCCGGGGAGGAGTAGCGCGCAACTACAGCAGTGTACAGGGCCTGCGCAGTCTGATGCTGGCCAAAGTGCTCGCGCTCGTCGACTGGCAGGGAGTTGCGAATAGCAAAGCGGGCGTGGGCATCGCGAGTCTGCCACTGTGAGCGAGCAGTAGCAGTAGCAGTAGTAGCAGGAGTAGGGACTGTGCCTAGTGCGTGATCGTACAGCGAGATATCCTCTCTGGCAGTGAGCTGGAGGAACAGGTGCAGATCATCGAGCCAGGTCTCAAACTTAATCGGGCGGCCCTCAGCATCAAACAAGAGAACTGGAGGGCTAGCCATAGCTGAAGTAGCAGTAGCAGAAGTAGCAGTAGCAGTAGTAGTAGCAGTAGCAGTAGCAGCAGCAGTAGTAGTAGCAGTAGTAGTAGCGGTGCTGCTGCTCAGGTAAGGAGGGCACGGCTCGGCTAGGACGGCGCGGCTCGGCTAGGGCGGCGCGGCTCGGCTAGGGCGGCGCGGCTCGGCTGGGTCGTGCGGTTCGGCTCGGGTCGCGCGGTTCAGCTGGGGTCGCGCTGCGCGGCTCGGCCGTAGAGGGGTGAGCGCGGGGGCCGCACAGGGCCGTTCGGGGCTAGCGCGGGGCCAATTGGGGCCGTAGGAGGCTAGCGCGGGGCCGTAGGTGGGCCGTGGGAGGCTAGCGCGGGGGCCGCACGGGGCCGTTCGGGGTTAGCGTGGGGCCGTAGGTGGGCCGTGGGAGGCTAGCGCGGGGCCGCACGGGGCCGTTCGGGGCTAGTGAGAGGCTAGCGCGGGGCCGACGCGGGGCCTTAAGGGGCTAGCGTGGGGTCGTAGGACGGGGCCGTGAGAGGCTTTAAGGGGCGACGCGAGGGGCCGTGAGGGGCCTGAAGGGGCGACGCTAGGAACGAGGCGCACGAGGGCGCTAGGAAAAGGCGGCGCACGAGGGCGTGGCTAGCGGAAACGGTGGGCCCTAACGTTTCGGTCCTAGGTGGAACCTAGGCTCGTAATACCATGTCAGAATGAGAAACGAGAATGGTGTGACTAACAGGAACAAGAGTACAAATGTGAAACCCTAATCTAGTGTACCCTCCAAGGTGTAACCCACTACAGCCTAGAACCACACAAACATATAATGTTTGACAGCTCACAACTGCGTCACTCTATCGCCAGTCGTGCGAATGGCACCAAGATGATTTGACAACCTTATAATATCATTCATGACTCAGTGGTGTGAAGAAACCTTGCAAAAATGAGCAACGCGGCATCGAAACGGCATCATCTGCAGTCCAGGGCTGTACTCGCGCGGTTGCACATCATTCGACGCTCACAACTGCGTCACTCTTTCGCCAGTTGTGCGAATGGCACCAAGATGATTTGACACCCTTCTAATATCATTCATGACTCAGTGGTGTGAAGAAACCTTGCAAAAATGAGCAACGCAGCGTCGAAGCAGCATCATCTGTAGTCCAGGTCTGTACTCGCGCGGTTTCACATCATTCGACGTTCACAACTGCGTCACTCGTTTGCTAGTCATGCGAATGGCACCAAGATGATTTGACACCCTTTTAATATCATTCATGACCCAGTGGTGTGAAGAAACCTTGCAAAAATGAGCAACGCAGCGTCGAAACGGCATCATCTGCAGTCCAGGTCTGTACTCGCGCGGTTTCACATCATTCGATGCTCACAATTGCGTCTCTCTTTCGCCAATCGTGCGAATGGCACCAAGATGATTTGAAACCCTTCTAATATCATTCATGACCCAGTGGTGTGAAGAAACCTTGCAAAAATGAGCAACGCAGCGTCGAAACGGCATCATCTGCAGTCCAGGGCTGTACTCGCGCGGTTTCACATCATTCGACGCTCACAACTGGGTCACTCTTTCGCCAGTCGTGCGAATGGCACCAAGATGATTTGACACCTTTCTAATATCATTCCTGACTCAGTGGTGTGAAGAAACCTTGCGAAAATGAGCAACGCAGCGTCGAAGCAGCATCATCTGCAGTCCAGGTCTGTACTCGCGCGGTTTCACATCATTCGACGTTCACAACTGCGTCACTCGTTCGCTAGTCATGCGAATGGCACCAAGATGATTTGACAGCCTTTTAATATCATTCATGACCCAGTGGTCTGAAGAAACCTTGCAAAAATGAGCAACGCAGCGTCGAAACGGCATCATCTGCAGTCCAGGTCTGTACTCGCGCGGTTTCACATCATTCGACGTTCACAACTGCGTCACTCGTTCGCTAGTCATGCGAATGGCACCAAGATGATTTGACACCCTTTTAATATCACTCATGACCCAGTGGTGTGAAGAAACCTTGCAAAAATGAGCAACGCAGCGTCGAAACGGCATCATCTGCAGTCCAGGTCTGTACTCGCACGGTTTCACATCATTCGATGCTCACAATTGCGTCTCTCCTTCGCCAATCATGCGAATGGCACCAAGATGATTTGACACCCTTCTAATATCATTCATGACCCAGTGGTTTGAAGAAACCTTGCAAAAATGAGCAACGCAGCGTCGAAACGGCATCATCTGCAGTCCAGGGCTGTACTCGCGCGATTTCACATCATTCGACGCTCACAACTGCGTCACTCTTTCGCCAGTCGTGCGAATGGCACCAAGATGATTTGACACCCTTCTAATATCATTCATGACTCAGTGGTGTGAAGAAACCTTGCAAAAATGAGCAACGCAGCGTCGAAGCAGCATCATCTGCAGTCCAGGTCTGTACTCGCGCGGTTTCACATCATTCGATGTTCACAACTGCGTCACTCGTTCGCTAGTCATGCGAATGGCACCAAGATGATTTGACACCCTTTTAATATCATTCATGATCCAGTGGTGTGAAGAAACCTTGCAAAAATGAGCAACGCAGCGTCGAAACGACATCATCTGCAGTCCAGGTCTGTACTCGCACGGTTTCACATCATTCGATGCTCACAATTGCGTCTCTCTTTCACCAATCGTGCGAATGGCACCAAGATGATTTGACACCCTTCTAATATCATTCATGACCCAGTGGTTTGAAGAAACCTTGCAAAAATGAGCAACGCAGCGTCGAAACGGCATCATCTGCAGTCCAGGGCTGTACTCGCGCGGTTTCACATCATTCGACGCTCACAACTGCGTCACTCTTTTGCCAGTCGTGCGAATGGCACCAAGATGATTTGACACCCTTATAATATCATTCATGACTCAGTGGTGTGAAGAAACCTTGCAAAAATGAGCAACGCAGCGTCGAAGCAGCATCATCTGCAGTCGAAGTCTGTACTCGCGCGGTTTCACATCATTCGACGTTCAAAACTGCGTCACTCTATCGCTAGTCGTGCGAATGGCACCAAGATGATTTGACACCCTTCTAATATCATTCATGACCCAGTGGTGTGAAGAAACCTTGCAAAAATGAGCAACGCAGCGTCGAAACGGCATCATCTGCAGTCCAGGTCTGTACTCGCGCGGTTTCACATCATTCGACGCTCACAACTGCGTCTCTCTTTCGCCAGTCGTGCGAATGGCACCAAGATGATTTGACACCCTTCTAATATCATTCATGACCCAGTGGTGTGAAGAAACCTTGCAAAAATGAGCAGCGCAGCGTCGAAGCGGCATCATCTGCAGTCCAGGTCTGTACTCGCGCGGTTTCACATCATCCGTTGTTCAATACTACGTTATTAGCGCGAATGGAACCAAATTGAGTTGACACCCTTTGTATATAATTAGTGACACCTGGTTTTATACTAATGATTACTCATGATTGTCTTCATATGTAACGTTGTTTATGGAAATATCAAGGTTTTTAACCGTTTTGTAACGAGGGTGTTGACATGCTGGTTGGTTGACGGCTCTCTTTCCGTTGTTGTTGGCCACGAACGTATGCTTGTTCGAGCGTGTTGCCAGGCAGGTGTATTCAACAAACTTCACAACAAACTTCACGTAGCCTGACCTGCTGGGCTTGCGGGGAGTAGGCTCTCAACTTCAATCTCTTCTTCAAATACGCACGATAGAACGAGAGCAGAGCACCACCCGTTCATTACCTGCTGACTTAGTAGTCATCACAAATCCCACCGATTTTTTCACGGTTTCTACGTGTTTTTAGAGGACACGATAAAGACTGCAACGCGATATTTAATTACCAACTCCAGCATCAGATCGGCAGAGCACCACCCGTTCATTCACATCTGTTATCAGCGTCTTCTCGGAGTTCCTTCAGCCTGTTACGAGACGCTGGTATTCGTTTTCCGTAACGATACCGACTTCACAAGTGATACGGTATTTTACTAGCATGGCGCGCGCCCGGTCACACCCCTTTAACAAGCGCGACTCAGTAAATGACGTTAAGATGCTAAGTTTACAAAACAGTCCGTGGCGTAACCTGTCCAAATGCACCTCGAACGCAACCTGTCCAAGCTGTGAGCCACAAATCTGAACGGACGTCGTCACAAGCCGCGAGACGACTAAGGCGCGCTGGCACTACAGGGCACCTATTTTTCAAACAACAAAACCTACGAGCATAATCACGCCATGTATTCTGAAAAAACACCACTTAAGCTTGACAATGCCTGATGGGACATGTATTCTGCTGTTGTTATTCATGTCTATATTTTTGACTTGACATGAGCAATCATAGCATTCTTTTATGGCTGATGCCTGAGCAATACCACTAATACAATGTACAGAGATCTCAAGCGCCATACATCGAGTATATCCAAAACAGTCTGTATCTGTTTTGCAATCCCATATAGAGCTACCTATGATATCGAACACCTCAATGAAGGGTTTGTGAGTGATTTGGTTGTTCAAATCTCGGATTTGGAAATGCGACTCGCTCTGGCGATAAATCTCAGCCACTCCCTGTACTCCAACCAATCAAATGCAGCTAGACTCTAGTACAGCTCTAATCCCAGCCCTTGCCAGCCCACCAAGTAACCAGAAGCCTCGCGACTCCAGCAAGAAACCCGTCACCCTTCCCCCCTTCCCCCCTTCCCTACCCAGCCAAATTTCTCTCACAGATAGTACGCACAACAGTCTAGAAGCCCATTCATAATCAGAGCAAGCCTGGCTGATTCACAGTTCTTTTCAGAACCCTCTATAATGTGGTCTCTTCTCAATGGGCCCTAATCTTCATGCCATACGGCTACGGTGCGCTATAGCACTACTTCTATTGGTTCTTCACCTCGAACGCCTTGACATGACATCTAGCTTTGAATCACCAATGCCTCACGGATGCTGCGAGATGGAAAGGGTATTTTTGCCGACAGATGGTTTCAGCTGCGAGACTTGTGAGGTTTCATTCGACAACGAGGTTGCACTCTCAAACCACGAGCGC